AAAATCGGACTCCTTTAATTTTTTCATTTAATTGATCGTTGATATCCTCCGCCCTATCTTGTATGCTCCGACTAATTGTGTTATTGGACAAAGACACTTGTAAAACCAGCTTCCCAGCAGGCTCATCAACCATGATGTTCACCATGTCTACAGCAGCCGGTAGAATAAGTTCTTCTGCGATGGTATGAGGCTTCTTACATTTCTCATTCTGTAAATCACCTTATAAGATGCTAGCAAGGCGTTGTTTGGTATTGATGCAGCTTTACTAAATGTATTTTGTTGTTGTTTCAATTCTTTTAATTTCCTGGCTAAAAAATCATGAGGTTTGCCAAGCATGCTGTTGTGATTAGTTTCTAAATGGCGCTTCAATTTACTTGGAAGCATACACTCTGTTGACAAGACTTTCATACACAATACACATTGTGGTCTCTCTTCACCATTAATTTTTGTTGACGTAAGACCAAACTCTAAATAACTGTCATCATATTTGAGATATTTTAGTTTATTTACACTAGTGCCACTGGTTAAAGGCATACTTTCTTTATTTGCACTATTACGTTTATAACTGTTCAAAAATCGGTCCATTATCAAATATACAAGAGCCAAAAATCACAAAATGATTTATCAAAGATAACAAACAAGAAGTAATATGACACTAACTAAATTACACTATGAACCAATTTACTAATTTATGTCACTGTTTATTTACATACGAAGCGCTGAGTTTAACTTCACTAGGCTCAAATTATAAGTCGACTGACTGAATCGACCCGGCAGCGCTTGCTTGTATACTTTCCGCAAGATCTTCTAGAACATTCCAAATCTGTCGCGAATGTTCTACGCACCTCGAAGTGTCTAGTGCGATCATATGGCGCGATCGAGAATACGCAGCGTTTTCTCACACGTTTTGTTTAGTTAGGCCAAATGTCTGGGTTAAATTTATTATGTATTCACCCTATTTCGTCTAAGGTGATAAAGGACTGGTAGTAGAATTTTCCCACAAAGATATGAGTTGAGCTGACGTT